AATTTTTTTTTTTTTTTTTTTTAAAAATGTTCCATCTAACATCTTGATCTTCGCCTTTTTCTTTTTAGAAATTAAGGTATTACTTCGTAACAATTGGAAGAACGAATGTATCTTAGTGTATAATATAGCAATTGATTAAATATTTCAAAATGTTTTTAAATAGAAGATAAAATTCTTTAAGTGAATCCTTGATGAATTCAGTACATAAAGTACGTAAATTATATCGAATAAATGATACGAAATGTGCAATTTGTTAAAAATTAAACTGAGCTGTTACTATTATTATTATTATATCCAAGAATATTATTATATCCTGGCATTTTATATTTCTCGAGCAATTTTCTTCGAGATATATTTAAATACCCGACATCTCTATTTTCCGTGTTTAATTTCACCCGAACGAGCGAGCCATCTTGAACAAGAAAATTCCGGGTCACTCCGTGAACTGAATTCCTAAACTACATCGCAAAAATGAAATATACCATGCAAATGAATCTGCATTACGGTGAAACGTTTTTCTTCAAGAGAGCGTTCAAAAGGGGAAGTTTCGAAACTTCGTTTGCCCGGGAAAGGTTATAAAGAGTTTAAAATGGCCGGTATTAAACAAAATGCTGACGCGTTGAGAAAGTGACGTACTACTATCCTGAAGGCAGGGAACGTTCAAGGATGAGGAGGGAGATATCAAGTGTGGGTTTATGCAAGACAAGCGTTTCGCTGCATAATTTCAGTCTTAAAGTGCACTTTATTAAAATAATAACTCCGTAGAACGGAGTTACGTGATTCGTGAATAGAAACCATTTGAAAGATTACATTTATCATCGAAAAAGATCCATCCATTTATTGCTTCGAACGAGACTTATAAACAAAATATATGTATATATATATATATATTTATTTATATTTATATTATTTATATCTTATAATATAACTTATTAATTATTGTTTATTAGATATACATAATTGTATCACATCCATTTCAATACTAATCTTACTTCATTCTCTTTGGTATAAAAATAAATATGTTTTTTGAAAACATCTGGAAAAGAAATAGAACGAATAAACTTAAATTCGCCAAAAAAACTTTTTAACCTTTTTTAATTTCTTCTTCGAAAATTATTCACCATTTTTCGAAAAGAGATTCTTAATTTTAACGAAATTATCTTATATAAAAAAAAAAAAAAATTACCTTTGGTCGTTCTCCAATCCCCCCCTCTCAAAAATTCTCAAAATATCTTAAATTTGTCAAAATCGATAGCTGCCAGGAAATCTCTGTGGGCTTGAGTGGCCATCGGCACCGTGATCCCCGTATCCAACTTAATGTTTAACTGTTGCTCCATACTGAAGGAAAAATTCGACAGATTCTCCTTATTGCTACCCTCGAGTTTGCACCTCCTATCCCTTCTCTGCCGCGCGGAGGGGATGACACTTTTAACCGTTCTCTCCGCCAATTCCCTTTGACCGTTATTATTATTATTATTATTGTTCTGTTCTCGCAAAGGTATCTCGAATTCGCGCACGCTCGATCTGAACCGGTGCAAAATAAGCTTCTTCGCGGGCAACTCGAGCGAGAAGGACGAAACAGTGGAGTCGGAAACTTTCGTCCGTTTCACGTTCTCTTCCTCGCTCGTGGACACGGTCTTTTCGATGTTTTGCTCGGACGAGATCTCGATCTTCACCGTTTCACTCGCCTCGTCCTTCTCGGGCATCGCTCTGTCGATCGCGCTCGAGGCGGTGGACAAACGCTCCAACCATCGGGACTTCAATCGTGGATCGGTGATGAAACTTATCAAAGGTATGTTCTCTATATCGAACTCTCTGCAACTCACCGAATACTCGTAGCTTACTTTCGTTCTCAACTCCTCTACGTGATCGTTCTTACGGATACTGTTCGACGATCTCAATCTCATGTTGTACGATTTCCCCATTATTTGCCTCGGCCACTTGGAACAGTGTTGATCGGCCGGCAACACGTCGTTGTTCACGATTTTGTACTTCGTCCTCGATGTGATCGCGTGAGTTCGCGACTCTGGATGGCACAGCTCGCAATGGACGTAATAGTCTCCTTTGGTGAAGAAAGTTTCGCCTGTAAGTAGGGGATGTAAATTTCAATCAATTTCTTCATCGTTCGATCTTGCGTTGTTATAAGTTGTAATTTCGTGCAATTGTAAATTTTTGAATAATTTTGAATAATAGATTAAATTGGAGTAATTATTTAATTAGCAAGATATATTTGTAATTTTAATCCTGGTCAATATATATATACATATACGTATGTATATTTACAAGTTGTAAGCAGGAAGTGGAGGATTTTATTTCTTTTTCGAACGAAGAACCGTTATCTGGCACGAAGGTAATTCATAATTTATGGAAATTGAATAGAGTGACTCGAAACAAACCATGATATGTCTTTAAAATTTTTTTGAAAAAGAAAATTCTCGTACAACCTGCATCGTTTCGATTCATTCAAACTACCATTAATTAAAAATATTTAAATTTAAAATAAAGATGGGATAAACTTAAAATAATATGAACTCAATCTACGTTTTAATATATAATTTTTTTCAAAATATTTTTATAGAAATGTAAGAAATACTTTACATCGGAGTGAATCGGTTCTATCTATTTTGGAAATATCTTCACCAACGATGGATCAAAATAATCCCGACTTGTGTCGCATCCACATTGATTATTTTCTCAAAGAGAATTTTTTTTCGAAAAAGAAGAACAACGACGATTGATAAAATTAAAAAAATAATATTTTTGGAGTCCGATATCCGATTAAATTTATATTCCGATCGAAGAAATTCGAATCGATTTAAAATTAAAAGTCAACAAAGAAGCAGATGAACTACCCCTAAACACTATCTGTAGGCGAAATAAATTCGCGTATCGACTCTTTGTCGTGCCAACTTTTGTGCAGTGCATCGTTGTGTGAGGTCGTAGGTGATAATAAAGGCTTGCCACCAATACGGCCGAAACCAGAAATCGTGAAAACGTAATTGAAACCAGGAGATTCGGATTGTTATTAGAGAGTGCTCCAGAAATATAAGGGTGGCGCGTTTATCTGACAAACAACAAAGAACGCGTGGCAATATGGTGTCTTCGGATTGAGGATCGAGGATAGGATAGGTTTATTTAGAGCGAGATAATAAGAACCGATCTTGGAAATAAGAGACGAAGATTGTGTATATTAAACGATCCCTTCTCTCGACTTTCCACCGAGCTTTCGTCTGCTCGATACTTTTGCTATTTTACGCGTGCACAATGTATTCTCTAGTATTTACAAGATTATATAGAGTGTTGAGCCATAGCGATATCACCAATGGTATAATATTTAGTAACACTTATAATAGAAGTCATTTTGAGATTAAGAAAATTTGATAAGAGGAGAGGTAAATAAATTTTTAATACAGTTGGATGGTTAATAAATTATAAGGAATTCAGAACAGGTGACTGATTTAAACTTTTGACACTATTGAAGATATGATTAATTATCAATTGAGAATTATATTATAATCGAATTATGATCGAATTAGTCAAAAATTACTCGTCTCGGATATTTAAAAGTCAAACTCAAGATCAATTTTTATGAAATCAATCCGTTTTCAACAATAATTCTTTTGAAACAATTCTTGGTAATTAGAATATCGCTTCTAATATAGGTGACAGAATGAAATGAATAATTTTGACAAGTGTATAATTACCGCAACAAATGTTTAATTTTTGCCTCAAATGAATCCTTTCGTTGTGCCTTTGCACGTTGTATTGTCGAGGGCTTTCGTATTTGCAACCACTGCAAGTGTACATCGTCTTCTCTTTTTTGTTACGTCCTTTTCGTGTCGAGACAACATCTTTGTTTTGATAACTGAAATTTCGTATTAATTGTCATCAGAAAATCCGAAGAATTTCGCAATGATGAGAGAAAAGAATAGAGTAAATCGTCAATTTGAGTAAAAATTATTTTAAAACAAATTTATTGTAAATTTATAGGATAGGATTTTTTGAAGTTCACAAACACAAGTTCACACCATACGATAAATAGAAAAAAAAGAAAATAGGAAAATTGTCACAGAAAATTCCAGAACGTGTAACATAATTTCACGACACAAACGACACAAAAGAGGAAAATAGATCGAATTTTCGAGTAAAATAAAAGAGAAATAAGAGAATTATTTCCTTCGTTCCCATTATAAATTAATGAAAAACGCTACAAATAAATTGTACTATAATGACATTTTGCAATAAGCTGAGGAATTTAACAAAAATTAAAGAAAACCAGAAAAAGTGTCACGAAAGACACTTCGAAAACTTTGCAGCAATAACACTTTCATCAAGAAAATACAAATAAATAGCAAACACTAGATCCGAGAGTTTATTTAAAATCAAAGAAAAACGAGGAAAATAATTTTCTTCATTGACACGATCAACTTTCAACACGTGCGTCGATGTTGTTACAAGTCCTGGAAACTTTCGAGCAAAAATCCGTTAGAACGTCATCGACTCCATTACCACGTGACAAAGAACCGGTACCACGTACGCAGTCAATCATCGATTAATCGTACAAAAAACAATACGAAACACTAAAAAAAACCACCACGACATAGTTTGCACGCGCGTAATCACATCGTATGATCGAATGACAATCAAAAAAATTCGAAATATACTCAAATTGAAACGATCGAGCGAACAACACCGAACATTTTATCGAAATATGTTTAACAAAAGGACGATAATAATAATTAATAAAATGACAATTCTCACATGTCGATCTCTTTGCTGATTCTCATTATTTATAATGGAAAATAAATAAAATAAGGAGAAATCACGAGTATTTGTTGCCTTGTTTGACACTCGAAACTTTAACGATGCTTTCGGGACACTTACCAATGACGAACTGAAGCGGCGCTAGGAAACTTCAAAGGGAAGGATCATTTGTCAGTATCGATGCCGAACGCTCGGTCAAAAGGCGGTATCCTCTAATCCATCCGTCCCCTTTGTGTTCATCGCACTTTGTTTTGACTTCGACCAATATAAATTATCGCGAGTCTTTTCTTTAACAACGTGTCTTCGTTCGAAAAATTAAGGAATAACAAACGGGGATCTGACGATCTACCGGAATTTTTTATTTAATCTGTCTCTTCATTTTTATCATCGATTATCTTTTTGATTTCGAGGTTAATTTAATAAATATGGAGTAATTGGGGTTGAATTATCGATCGTAAGAGATCAATTATTCAAACAAAAAATTAATTCTCAATTTTTCAATTTTCAACGAGCGAGTTTCTCCTCTTGGAGTTTGCCTCTTGTATGGATTAATCCACATAATATAACCTGAAATGGAGTTTCGGAATTTTAGTTTCAATTTTAATTCGTTTTTTTCTTTTTATTAAAATTTAATGATATCTTTTATTCATGAAAATTTCTATTTAAATTTTTTACACCCATGAAAATAAAGAGCAGACGTGTTAAAAATTGTATTGAAAAAAGTCTTCGTGTATAAAAAGATTAAAGAAGATTACGATATATTTAACTTAGAGAATGGATATTAACCCCTTTAGGGCCGAATTTTTTAAACGATAACAGCAAAATTCTCATAGAAACGCATCTTCTCGCGATGTTTTTATAAAAGAAAGAAAGAAAAAGATATAACCTGTTAAAATTTCAGGTTTATTTCCCTTCCCCCCCCAAAAAAATAATTAATCACTCATTATTAATTAAATTACTATATTGCAGATACGTAACTTTGACGGGATTAAGCGTAGAAAAATTTTCCAAATTTCCCCCGTATGAAATAAGAAAGCGAAATAAGCAAATTTGCTTACACAAGGAAACGGCAGAGCGGCAAGTTTCTATTTGCATTTCGATAACACTGAATGTTCGATGTATCGGCAATGTACATTCCCGAAACACTTTCAGTGTCGTTCGGTCAGGAGACGCTATGCATTTTAAGCGGTAACCTATCGGCCAAGAAGCTTTACAGAGCGAATTTCGATAGGGCAGCGCGACGTTCGAATAATAATCAGCGTTAATTGCAGACGTGCACAATGGCAGTCTATGCACCGCGCTTACCAACGTCTTAAAAGTCTATTCCCTTACGAATCGTAAACGAATTCAATTTAATTTTATCGCTCTTTGAATATGTAGCTCTCGTTAACGATTTAGAACGTCATCAAGAATTATTGAAAAAAAAGAAGGAAGAAGTTGAACCATCTTTTTGAATGATTTTAACTTCAATTATTTTGCAGGATTTTATATTTTATTTTTTCGATATACATGAATAATTCATTTAAAAAAAATCTTCTACAGATTGATGGAAATTTTACATTTAGATTTAAAGTAGATTAATATTAGATTCACTTATATTTATAATATGAATTACATGTATACGTGAATGGAAATATTATAACAGAGATAATATAAATTTGAATATAGAAAGTATTGCAAAAGTTATTGCAAAACTTTTGGAAACGATCTTCCATTCAATGTAAATTGTTTTAAAAATTGTTCGATAAATTGAAGGAATAAGGATCCTGTGTCTAAGAAAATAGTATTTCGCGTGTTTGCTATTACTCCAATACAAAATTCTTGGAAATAGAATCAAAGATTCCCACACTTCTAGTATGTTAAATCAGCACTGTGAACGCCGCAAATTTTCTCAATTAGAGTGCAATGAGACAGGATCCCATAAAATAACTACTGGTCGAACAAGACCGAGTTTCACTGTTGGATGTATCTGGACGATTATATCGCGGTTGGTGCATCGTGGGTTGTAACTAAGCTCCTCGTAAAAAGTGAACTGCCCGATCTTGAGAGAAATACTTCTGGCCAAGAGAATCCTGCAACCGGCCACTGAACCCACGACCTCGAGAGTCAAATACTCCACGAAGATGCGATACGAGTCGCGAAGATGTATCCACCTCGTAAAAACTGGACCCCGAGCTAGCTTTCCTAGGTACACAACGTACACTTGCGTGGCGACTTAGAATTGCGCAAGTCTTGTGAAATATACGCCGTTGTTGGCGATCTTGTTCTTGATCGATGCTGGACACTGCCTTGGACAATCATTTTTCACAGTTTAAATTTATTTCCTTAAAGTTTAGTGGAGTTTGCTGGTGCTCTCGCTTTTTAATTTGAATTAGAACAGAAAATTGATGAATAATATCACTAAATGTTAGGAAAAAGAAAAGAAAAATATTGAATTAAAGATATTTGAATTAATATTGTTAATAGGATTAGTAGGATAGAATTTGTTTTCATAATTTTATAACAATGTGAATGATTGAAAAATGAAAAAATTAGAAAATTGATGAATAACATTATTAAGTGTTAGGAAAAAGAAAAGAAAAATATTGAATTAAAAATATTTGAATTAATATTATTAATAGGATTAATAGGATAGAATTTGTTTTCACAATTTTATAACAATGTGAATGATTGAAAAATGAAAGAATTAGTG